ATGTAATTTCATAGATAGTTTGAAAACCGTAACATAAAACCTTAAGATCTCCCTTTGTTGATTCACGTTTACCCAACATTTAGGTAAAGACAGATTTATTTTTATTTTTAATTTTCGAAGCTAAATCAAAAAAAAGGTAGTGCTTAAATATTTAACAAAAGCTCGACACAGATTTACTGAAAGCAAATGCCCCACCCATTGTATTTGTTGGATCTGTCCCCATCTGATAAAACTTAACTCGTTTGTTTTTGAATCTAGTTGAAAAATTATGGAATCTTTGAACAGTGTTAAAAATGTATTTGAATAGTTCTCGTCACGCACAATAGAATCTTTACTGCACTAAAATATCTACCAAGAAATTGCAAGCACTGTTTAAATAAATAATGTAGTGAAGTTTTCAGCACCAAAACACTTGCTTAGTTTTAAAAGCATAAAAAGTAGCTATAAAACCTTTTTTATCTGGGAGATGAACTAATTCATTATTTTTAAATTCAGAAATCACTCTCAAAAACATCTCTATATTCGTTTTTATTATTCTATCATTAAATAATTTTTATTTATAGCGTTTCGATAAATAGAATTGGTAAGTATAGTTAAAGAAAAGGAATGCTACTGAAGCAAAATTCTAAATTCAAATATTACGAAATTTAGCAACATTAATTTAATTCTATATTTATAATTTTATACATAGATACATATTCCTTTTCACTTCGAATTGGAGCATAGGGCTTCTATCTATAGTTTTCTATCTCACTCTATTTGTGGCAAGATATTTTGCTTCGCTTCGTGTCTTTTCTATTGTTTTCAATTCATTTACAATCGCTCTGAGCCAAGTAATTATAACTAAATTTAATATAACATTTATAAAATTAATTATATTAATTAAATAATATTTAAAAAGTTTGTTGTTTATAAAATATAGAAAAGTTTATAAAAGCAAGTACAATAAAAAATACCAATTTGAAAAAAAAAAAACTACCCTCGGTTTGACCGTTGAGATACACTGTTAGAGATTTCTCGAAAAAAATGGTTAAATAACAATTTGTTATTTTACGATATTCAGCCAAAGCTGTCAAATAAACATAAAAAAGATGGTATTTAAACTGTTAAGTGTAAGAAAAATCGTTTATTGACTGTTTTCTCCTACTACGGTTAAACAACCAGAATTTTATCCTCACCAACCAATGTTACCCACAGCCAATGAGAATTGAGCGAAATTTCTTCAAACACTGAGAGCTAAATCATGTGATAAGGATTAAAAATTCATATTTTTATTTTCTATCATCGGATGCCAAGACAATAGCGGGTGTCTTATAATATTTAAGATGTGTGATGAACATCTTATGAAGCCACTTAGTTCCTTACAGCTTTGAATATACTTTAGCCAAAATGGATGATCTGACATGCTTGTGACCAGTTGAACGGGGGTTCAAATCTCAGCATTGACACCACAATATTTCCTCCATGCTTGACCTCGAATTGGTGACCCTAGGATAACTAAACTATTGGAATACGAAACTAACTCTCATTTACGCATGGATGGCAACACCACAGAGCTGCTTAATAGAATTTCTCACGATGGATTGTACCACTAGATAAGAGCATTAAGCCACATTCACTTGACAAAACACACCTCAACCTAATTTTAATATCCATTACGTAATGAAAAATCTAGCGTAATGTAACTCCAACGTATAGTTAAATTTCATTTTTATGGTTTTGAAAACATCTATAGTTGTAAATGGTTAGAATTACTACAGAGTTTTGTTTTTGCGATTTTTGATCCAAATGGTATAGTTTATAAACGTAAAGGAAGAAAACGCTTTTAACCATAAACTTTATGGTTAATTAGATGGACTATGGTTAATTTTACCGTGAATTTGGAATGAGAATTCTAACAGTGGAAATAGCGATGAAGGAGGGATTATTTATTTATTTAAAACTCATAGACATTGTCATAGTCTAGCGTGGTCCTAGCAAGAATTTCCAAAAAGCTCACATTTCTAGGACTCTAGAGGACACCATGACACTAATATACAAATGAATTTTTTTTACATTTTTTAAAATTATTTTTGGAATTGAAAATTCGAAGAACGTCTTTTCTATTTGAAATGTATAAGTAGTAACCAAAACATGGGTTTCTAATTCAGTGGATCTAGCATTTTTAAGAACCACTCTCAAGAAAACTATCCTTAAAGTCAAAACCATGAATTAGAAACTGAAATGCATTAAAACATTTTTCCCGATTATTTATGCTTGACCCTAAAATACAACATTTCTCATTTCTACATTATGAGTCCCTCCCCTGATGTATCATGAAAAAGAACTTAAGTGATAGAATAAATTTGGAAATAAAAAATTTAAAAAATATTTAATTTATTCGTTCTTAGAAAGAATTTTTTTTGAAAGAAATGTAATAATTTAAATAATATAGGCATAAATGTTGCAGTGAACAAGGTCCCCATGCAAAATTTAATGATAGTTCTGTGTGTAGATTTAATTAACAATTTAAATTACTTTGATCGATTAATAGCATGGTAGAAATTATTCCCTTGACTTTAAAATATAAAAGTTTTTGATTTTTTTTCTCAATTGAAGCTATCAGTACCAAAACCATGCAGTTTATCATTAAAAGTTTTGAAGAAATTTTTACTTTTTTTTGTACTAAAAAAAATTATGTTTATTGTTAAAGTTTCACCCTCAAAAAGTACTCTACATTGAGAAAAAAAATATGATCACTATCAGAATATGATAAAATTTACTATGTGTGGCTCAATTAGAACACCGAAAAACACTGTAATTTTTATTGAAGCGCTTTGGGAATAACTTTTGGTAAAATTAACAATAAAATATGGTTTTATAACAATACATTTTGGTGTTAATGTGGTAAAATTTGGTAATTTTATCATATCATGAAAATCAATAATTTGGTTAAATTTAACTTTTAGTTTTATATTTTTACTAAATTTGTCGTAATAAGAACTATAATTTGTAAATTAGAATTTCCGAGGAACCGCTAAAATATAAAATGAAACCATTATCGCGTGAATGGTTTAAATATCGCATATTTTGGTTTTATAAACAAAATTAGGCTGTTGTTTTTTTTAGCAGAAATTTCTTTATCATGCAGTACGCAATTTTAACAGAATTTTTTTCTTTATATTTTATGTATAGTTTCTGTATAGTAATTTTTATAGTTTCTGTATAGTGTAGTTCATATAGTATAAATTAAAATATAAATTATGTAAATCATATGATATACTCCTTACTCGTAAGTTTTATCAGTTTTTCTTAGTTTTCAGTAAACGGTTTTTTTTTCTTAATTTCATAAACAATAGCTCTTAATTTTAAATACTAACTTTCTTTAGATATCTCTATTAGTTTAAAACACTTAATATCAAAAGAATTTTCATCAAAAGAAATTTTGTTTTATTATAGTTAAAATAGTTGTAGACACAGAAAAATATTTCGAAACAAATACAACTAAGTTTATCTAGCAGTCTTTTTATATTTGCTTTTTATATTTGCAGCAAAAAATAATAAAACAAGTAAAGTAAAAAGAACTGGAGAGTTAAAATCAGGAAGCTTAATCAAGGCACTTCCCCAATAAAATCAGAAAAGCTAGGAAAATACGTTAGCGAAATTTCTTTTTCTGGCACAAGCCAATTTACGATGAAGGAAATAAATTTGGCTAAAAGCAATTGCATTTGGTTTTGAAAACCTTTGCGTGTAAATTTATTCTTAGTTTGAATAGACAAAGAACAGTTGTTGTTCTTTTAACCTAAATAATTCAAAAACATACAATTTTGTTGAAATAGTAATACAATTAATTTGAAAATAGGACTTGGATCAAATACAATAAAAACAAGACTACAACTCTAAATAATGTTATAAAAATTTTAATTTTTCATAGTGATAATTTAAAAACGTGTACTATTTAGTGTTTCGAGGAATTAAAACAATAAAATCAATAGAGAAGAAAAATATGTTTTATATTTTAAGCTGATAAGTTCGTAATGTATACACAATCGAATTATTTAGCAAAATCAAAATTAACTCTTATTACAGAGAATAAATTCTGATAAAATTTTGATACTGCATGGTAATGTCATTTCTGGTTAAGAAAAACAGCAACATAATTCTGGTTAATAAAACCAAAATATACAGCATTTAAACCATTTGTTTGGAGTTTTCCGTTCATACCGTAATAGTTTACTGGAAATTCTGGTTTTCAAAATCATAGTTCTCATTACTACATATTTAGTAAAAATTACAAAACTGAAAAGTAAATTTAGCTAAATAAAATTATTTATGCTATGCTCTAAGGTATCATGGTAAAATTACCAAATTTTACCAAACTTTATCACAAATTATAAGGCCATATTTTATTGTTAACTTTACCAAAATCATTACAAAATGGCTTCGGTAAAAATCGCCAAGCTTTTCGGTCGTCCCATAGAGCCAGAAACACTATAAATTTAACCATTTTCTGGTGGTTTTGACTTTACTTTTTTCTCAGTGTAAAAAATTGTAACAAATTTTAATCCACTGTTTAAAAGTAATTTGTTGTTGTTTTATCACGTTTTATCAATTTGGTAATTTTATCATGCTACCTAAGAACATGGCATAAAACCAATTAATTCAGTCAAATATACTTTTACGTTTTGTATTTTTTGCTGAAAGTGTGGTAACAAAAACTATAATTTTGAAAACCAAATTTTCCAGTAAGCCATCATTGCATGAATGTAAAAATTTCCAAATGAATGCTTCAAATACCGTACATTCTGGTTTTAATAACCAGATTTATGTTGTTTTTTTCACCAGAAATTTCACTGTACCTCAAATTTTACCAAAATTTCTTACTCCACGTTAATTGTTGTATTTCTTATAAAATGTTTGCTCATTGAAGTAACGTTGTAAAAAAATTGCCTAACTTTTCATGTTTAATGTTTTACTACTTTAAAATATAGTTTCTTAGATTTTAAATTATTTTGCTGTAGGTTTTCCCATGATGAAAGTGATAAAGAAATCTTAGATGCTCTTTTATTAAATTCTAAATACGACAGGAGAGTACGACCACCTCAAAGTAAGTTTCAATATTGTAAAGATCATGCAAGAATTTTAGTTCCTTATTGTTGGCTAAAAATGCTTTCATGCTTTGATTTTCTTTTTTTTATCGTTGTATATATGAAGTATTTAGCTTATATGCATGTTTATTATTTTAGATTTATATTTTATGCAAAACAATGACTGCGAAATTTGCCACTAATTATTTTCAATGCCATTAAAATATTATATGCGCAATAAGTATCTATAATTTATTTAATTTTATTTCTATCTACTGTTATAATTATAATTAAGAAAAATAAACTTATGTTTCAATTCACAGAGACGAAGTATGTAGTATTTTTTTATTTATTAAATATTCATATTCCTCCCTTTTTATTTACTTCTTTTAATTCTCTCTAGTAATAAAAATTGGTACACATATAAAAATATATTAAATACAAAGTAATAGCTAAAAAAAAAATTTCTCGCTAAAATATTTCATATCACTCAGCAAGAATCTCTTATTAATGTCCTATTTTTATGCTATCTTCAAAACTTTTTATGGGATAGTAAAAAACAATAATAAACATCACACCTACAATTCGCCAGCTTCTAATTATAGCGCTTTCGGAGTTTCTTTTAAAAATAAGTTATATTTGGTGCATTTAGGGACAAAAATAAATTTCTCTTGCATTTTTATTTATATGACAGTTTATTATATTTGATTATAGTCTTAAAATCAAATAAATATTCCCAACTTTGACTAAAACTATATACAATGATAAAACTTTCAAACCCAAGGATTCAGAAATATTTAACTCTTAAATGCATGAATTTTTATTTTTAGTAAATAATGCTTGAAATCAACCGATAAAAGGATGTAGTTAATGTGGAAAATAATTTTTAAGAAAAATAATAGTTTTTTAAAAAAAAAACATTAATGTATTTCTACATCATGAACAATCACTCCTTGATTTTTACAAATCTACTGCGTACAATAATATAATACTTCAAACAAAAAATTTTATGTAAATAACAGTTTTCACACATAATTACTTTTTATAAAAATAGTAATAAGCCTTAAATTATGCTGATGTCTGAAGTATAAAAGTATAGTGGATCAGACGAATTGAGCAATTCATGATAAATATCCTTAGTATGCTAAAAGTATCTGAACTCACTGCAATGAGCTTAAAAAGTCTAAGGTGGTTTTACTGCAAGTTTTTCCAATTATCCTGCTAAATTAAAATCGTTTGTTTGCAAAGAGCCAGAATTCTTAATTAGCCTATGGTATATCCATTTTGGTCTCCCTAAAATTAGGCACACGAATTTCATTTATCTGTTGGATATTATACTGTAACGTATGCTTTTGACAGACGATTTTCATCTTTTTTTGCGTTGAATAAAAAAGTAACTGCTTTTAAATGAATAAAAAAAATGTGGCGAAGTGATTTAATTCTTAAGCAATGCTATAACGACATTTAAGTTCAAAACTAAGGTAATTTCAACATTTTAGAGCAACTACAGGAGCATAATTTTCTCTCTATGGAATAATGTTTCAAAACTGCATCAAAATTTTTAACTGTATCAGTAATAATATTTTGTTAACGTCGCACTAGAGCTGCAGAATGGGCTATTGGTAATGATCTGGAAAACATTCCTGAGGATGATTTGAAGTCATGCCATCGCAATTTTGATTCTTTGCAGATGAAATGACTCCCTCACTTTCATAGCTCTATGAACGGCGCACGAAGTTGAGTACTTTACGGTAGAACAGTTTAACTAGAACCGAATCCATACACCCTCGGTCCCTTCGCAATTTGATCAAAATGGATACCCACCCACACACTGATCGCAACCGGTGATGCTTTTCTTCAGTGATCTACTGGGAACCGTGTATTGCGATCAGTTCACAGTGATGCCAAAACTGGTAACATATCACAAAAAGCAGCAACGAAAGCTTTCAGATATAGTGCCATTAGAAGACTATATTGTTTAAATTCAGTTCTTGGTTCTCATTTGAATTACAAAGAAATATTTCTTTAAAAAATAAGGAACAAAATGAACAAAAAATAAAGAAAAAAAATTTAGTTATAAAAAAGGCAATTTACAATCATCAAAGGTTGGTTAAATATATATATATATATATATATGTGTGTGTGTGTGGGAGATAGTGCAGCATAGGAGTAAATAATGACGATAATATAACAACATAACAATTTAATAGAAATGAAAGGATGGAAGGATATAACAGTAAACGTTATTGACATGTCTCGTGAGAGCTGCCTTCTCGCAGTGGTCTCCGGAATGCATGTGACTAAGAATTAGATTGTTCTATGGTATAAAGTAAGAGTTAATTATAAATTCGGGAGTTTCCCTTCGGGACTTCCCCTTCTGGTCTGGCTGGCGCCTCTCAATGTCAAGAGGATGATGCAACTTCCTTTAATATTACAAGATGGTGGATGACGCAATGTTCGCAGTTGTTACACTATGGTATTGAAACCTACATCAATCGGCGATCCTGACAACAAAATGTCCTCATTTTCATCAGAATAGCTACCAGACACAGTTACCTGAAATAAAAAAGAAAAAGAACGAGAAAGCAAAGTAT